AATAATTTACATAATTTCCTTACGACAAGGAAAAAAAAATATTGAAATAAATTCATGTCACTTCTCCAATCCAGACACAATTGACAAATGTGATCATCCTAGAAACCTTTCGCTCTTCATGATCAATTTATGTATGAAGTCGAAAAATCGAGACACCTAGTTCATGCCTGAAGCTCTCAGGATCAACTTTGGTCTTCAACTGTACCAATTTGTAGAAGTTTTCCTAAAGTACCAAAAACACTTGCTTCAATTGTGTAAGGAATATGCATATGCATCCCTTTGGATTCTTGGAAACATAAGGTTCAATGCACTTGTAATTGTTCGAATCCAATCTATATGCTTTTTGTTGCACATCAAAAAAAGTATGTGTGGCGTCGGCTCCGATAATTTTTCATCGCTATTATTTGATTTGATCTTATTAGATTTGTTGGAAGTCGCCACTTAGTATTTAATTAAGGGTTACTAGGAAACCCAGTTGTACTGGTCTTGTCAGAGATTCGCAGGTAAGGGATTGGTTGTGATTAGAAAAGGTATTAGCACCCCTAACGCACCCTACCTGAGGTAAGCTACTTCGTGGACTTGATATATTAAAGAAGTTTTAAAAATTATCTTTTCATCGGATTTTAGAAATACAACTTTCGTACAAGTTTGTACTTCTACACCGTGATCCAATCAAAATATTAAATTCTTCTTTATTCTCTATAATTTTATCATAAATAAAAAGAAACATTCATAAGACAAATACAAACATACACATGCATTTTTTTATTTCCTTTTTCTTTTATTTTTTATTTTTTTTTACATCGACATTACAAAGTATAAAAATCCAAAACTAAATAAAAATTACATTAAATAATTTAAAATTTACAAAACAGTCCCTAAAACTCCAAAAATTGCATTGAAGTCCCTTACAAGGCAATGTGAACAGTGCCCGTGAATAGTGGCAAACGCACCGCCACTGCCGAAGGTGGCAGAACCGGTAGATCAGGGTTGTCTTCCTCTTCTTTGTCTTCCTGCACCGGCGGTGACTGTTGTGATTTGGGTTTTCAAATTGGAAGCCAAGACAGATTCTGGGCAAAGTTCCAATAACAACTACTCATCAACCATTCAAATAATAACAAATCCCAACGGTGAAATGGTAAAAACACATCTTATACAGCATATATCCAAATATCAGCACAAGTTAACAGTTGGATCTCCCTGGATCGAGTTAGACCAAAACTGACCTGAGATTGGCGAGCCATTATTGAACACGCATAACACTTGTTTTGATAGGTTTCATCTCATCTCCACCATTCAAAATGTGCAATACAACCATACCCATTACATATCCAAAACTCAAATTGATACAACGGTGAATAATGAAGAAATAGGTCGGCGGCTCTAACTGTTCCGAGAGTGGTTTGTCTAGAAATATTCAAATGATAATATTTCTCTCGTGGTTTCAAATATAAATGATCGCTCTGGTCAAGATGTAGGAAATATAGGGACGCACAACATACCCAAATTTCTGGTTAATCCAACGGTAGAAAAGTAAGAAATCATCTGGCAACGCTGATAGGTCCGAGGGGAAAAAAATAAATGTGGACGATGACCCTTTTTTGTTGGCTGGGTCCGATAGGGTGAAGGAGGAGAGATGGCCGAGGGGATGCTATTTGAGGGAGAAAAATTCAAGCAGGGAGGGGGGCGACCGGTTCTCTTGAAAAGATGGGTTTGTAGGGTTAAGGTTTTTAGGGTTTGTCTTTTTTTTGTCAAAATTGCCCCTCCTTTGCTTTGTGTTAAAGATTGCTATTTATAGGCAAAATGTTGCTTGGATTTTAAAATTGGTCCCTCAATTTTATTTTATTTTATTTTTGTAAATTTTGATTTTTTTTGTATTTTTTTGAAAACGAGTAATATCAACATCGACTCAATGAGAAAAATCAATGATTTTAAAAATAACACGTTAAAAGTTGAACGCGTTTCAAATATCTTTGAAAATTTAAATTCTTTTGTGATGATGTTGAAAATGCTAAACATGATGCAAATATATTTAAAAATGTATTTTTTGGATTTTCATGGTTTTCTCTATTTTTTGGATTTTTTCTAAAAATTTATCAAAATATAAGTCAAAATTGAGAAATAACCCAGAATTGGGTTATAACACTTTTGATGAAAGAAATATGTTCTCTAAGATTGTGCTTTCATACTTTTAGAGAAGCTAGATAGGGGAAACATCGGATCTCCATTGCTCATACCACCAAGGCTTTCCCTTTCTTTTTAACATGAAAAATAAATAAATAAAAACTATAGCAAGCAATGGTAGCATAAAGGTGGCTTCTATGTTTGGCATAAAGTATATGCTTTTCCATTAATTTTATGAGCTAAGAAGTCAAGTGGCGATCGTTTATATTATAGAAAAAACTAAAAAGGTAGCCTTCTCATTGTGGACCTAGAGACAGTTTATAGCTTACCGTGGACTTGTACTTAATTTTTTAATGGAATTTACCCTCATATATATTTTTTTAAAATAAATTCTACTAGTCTACTACGTCTTTTTTTTTCAAATTATTTTTAATAGGTCAAAAATATATGCATTGATTAATAAAATCATTACTTGAAAAATAAAACTACATATATAAAATAAAAAAATACTTGAATTAACAAACTTATCATTAAATTGAAAAAAGAGAGAAGTTAGTTACAAATATTCAAAATATTATGCACGGAAAAAGGCTTAAACAAGATAATTTTTTTAAAAAAAGGTATAATACAATAAAAAAACGTAGAAGAAACATAAATAAATTAACAATTATTTATTATTTATAAAAAATATTAACTCATATTTGATCTTAATATTTTCCTATAAAACTAAATTATCTTAAGCACACAATTAAACATAAAGGGCTAAATTTCTTATAATTTTATTGATAAAAAAATATCATTAGTGCCAATTTTATTGTCGGTATTCCCTAAACTAATATTAAATATTTGATAAAAGAGAATATTAGTAACTAAATTCTCACTTGTTTTTTAAATTAAGCTAAATTTTCGTTGGTTTGAGTATTTCCTAAACTAATATGAAATACTTGATAAAAGAGAATATTAGTAACTAACAGTTGAACTTAGCCCCAAGCCCAATTGTTGCTGCCTCAAGGTTCTGTTACCTTATGGTGCAGCATGATTCTTGTTGGGTTACCTAAATTAATCAAACAACTTGAGGTCCACTTAAGCGACATAAACAGGGTGATCCAACCAGTCGTAGTTCTTACCCATGTGAAGTGGAAGAGGTGGGAAGCTCTGTCCATGTCCGAAAAAATTGTCAGGATCAACTTTGGTCTTCACATGTTGTAGAAGTTAGGAAATTGATGCCCACAATACACATACTTCATCTCCTCAACATGAAGCCAGATTGGATCATTTCACAGAACCATTTTGCCCTAAATGTACAAACAAAGTCAAAATATTGATTAAAGTCACAATAATCGGAAAAGAAAAGTTTGAAACTAAAATAATAAGTTAAGAACAGAAAAGAAAATAAAAAGAAAAAAACAAAGAATTTGGTATGAACTCCATATAAAAACTAAGAAAGATCACTTCATTTTTTTTTGGTAAAAATAATATACCTGGATTGATGTTTCTTCAAGTGCTGGTTTGAAGTGCTTGCTTGAGAATGTACTCTTGAAGTGCTGGTTAATTTATTATTGAAGTGCTGGTTTGCTTAAGCGGTATTCAGGAAAGAAAAAGAAAAAGAGAGAACACATATCAGAGAAGCATATATGGTTTTAAAAAGATAAAGTCCCAAAAACACTTGCTTCAATAATAAAGCTCGTTGGACTTCTTGTTCATCCACAAATCAAGATCCCTGTAATCCACATGGTCCATTACATAATCATGAACGGGAAAGGAGTCTGAGATTCAGGACTATTCCCATCAATCCACCATAAGGAGCAAGCACTGCAGCAGGACTCTCTACTTCAAACAACATTTTCCATAGCCCCTCGAGTGCAGTATTTTCATTGCCTGAATTCTGGGTTGTGACTGAGAATGCAAGAGCGATGTTATAAGAATATTTCATCTACGTTAAGCTTTAAACATGTTTTTTTTTAAAAAAAGAAGATTATGTAAAGTTTCACAATATATTGTAAACTTTTAAAATATTCTTCAAAATCAATAAAAATAAATAATAATTCATAATACTTACTATAACATAAAAATTCAAACTTCCTTTAAGACATCAAATTAAAGATTAAAAGGCAAAAAAATATACCAACAAAAAATAAAAAACAGAAACTCTCAATAAAATCAATATGTTAACAAAAGTTAAAAATTTAAAAATAATATTAAAAAAAAATGAGTTCAACTTCGTGAATATATATATATATAAACCATGCATTGATTTAGGGTTTGAAGGAATGGAAAAAGTTGAGCGCACCATTTTGCTTGATTTTCTTGCTTTGGCTTGTTCAGAATTGAAGTTTCAGATGGTTTGCTTATATAAGAATTGTGAATAGTTGACCCTGAGGTTGAGCTAACTAATCCTGACATTATCTTAGCATTTATTATTACTCTGCATTTTCTTTTTTATCTGATTTGTGCAATGAGACATTGACTTATGACATTACTGATATAATATAATTATAAGAATGGTTAAAAATCTAAGGAATTTCATATTTTTCTAATCACACATTTAATGCATTAAATGTTTAATTATCTCATTGTTTTAACAAAATATATTTGACAGGAAAGTGAGTCGGTGTGACGGGTTGCATATTTTGCTAACAGTTCTTTTTTTTTTTTTCTTTGGTAATAATATTCATACTATAAGCATTACGCAACATAGAAAAGTTCAGCATCACTAAAATCATATCAAGTACTTTCTTGCAACATCTTAATGCAGCATCAAAAACTTTTATTTAACATAATCTAGAAAGATAAACTATTGAAAGAAATTGAGGTCAGAAACTAGACACTACTGTGATCCTCCAAGGAACCTTTCTCTGTCCTTGACCAATGTCTCTTCAATTTCTTTTCCTCATATGATGAGGAAGAGTTGGGATGCTCTGTTCATGCCTGAAGAAGTTGTCAGGATCAACTTTGGTCTTCACCCGTACCAGTCTGTAGAAGTTATCCTTGAAGTACTTGGTGCCCCAACCACTTGCTTCTGGAAAGCTTGTGTTATTCTCCTTGTTCATTCCCAAATCAAGGTCCCGGTAATTGACATATGGTTGTCTTGGAAACATGGAGGCATAAGGTTTCATGTACCTGTAAACCATCCTAGTCCAATCGGTATGTTTTCTAACATTTTCTTTCGCATCTCGCCAATTGGCCAAGTACTGGATCATGAACAAGGTACCTTTTCTATGAGGGAAAGGAGTCTGAGATTCGGAAATTTTGCCCATGTTTCCACCATAAGGGGTAAGAACTATAGCTGGTTTGTCTTCTTCTAACATTATTTCCCATAAACCTTTGAGAGCAGTTTCAGGTATAGGTTGTCTAACAAAGTCTGACTTGGCTTTGAAGTAGTGCTTCAATATATTTCTTCTTTGAAGTAGAACTTCAGGAGATGTATTGATGGTGTAGCCACCAAGAAAAACAGTAGAATCGATCCAGCTTGTTTCGATATACTCCTGTCTTGTCAAACCCAGTTCAGGAAAGCTTTCTCGCATTACTTGAGAAGTCTGTTGGCATCAACAAGAAACAAGGCATCATAGGAAGTCGTTATAGTCCTTCCACCTTTGTTACTGACATTAACTGTCTGTATATTGACCCTGATGAAGAGATCCTCGTCAAGTTGATCAGCAACCTGTTGCCATCTAAATAAGATCTTAGTAGCACCTTGCTCTAAGGACTTGGTAACTGTAAACATAGTCACAGTTGATGGTACAGGGACCAATTTTATCTTCCAAGCAGTAATTATTCCGAAGCTGCCTCCTCCACCTCCTCTAATTGCCCAATAAAGATCTTCTTCCATAGTTTGTCGATCAAGAACTCTTCCATGAACGTCAATTATACGCGCATCAATGACATTGTCTGCACCAAGACCATATTTTCTCATCAAGGAGCCATATGCACCTCCAGTAGAGTCCGTAGCGGAGGGCATGATTATGAGGGACTCTCTTATGTTTCAGAAATCAACAAACCTTTCATTGTTGTAGACCTTGCAAAGCTACGGTCCATCAGCGTTGATATTGAGCACAACAGCGCGTGGGTTCAGGTGGGTGCCACGAATGGTGAACTTTACTACAGAATTTCTGAGAAAAGCAAAACCCATGGCTTCCCAGCTGGTAGTTGCTCAACTTTAGGTATGGGCGGGCACATTTCAGGAGGTGGATATGGTGCCATGTTGCGAAAATATGGCCTTGGAGCGGACA